GCGACGAACTTCATCAGTTTAACTGGAGTGGGTGTCAAGCGTAATTTAGTTGCGGCTTCGACAAACTTAAGTGTATGAGCAATGCCCAGTCCTTGCTTGTGGTTTTTGAATGACGTCCTATTGCGGGTGTACAGCTTTTGCGCCCGTGCTAGGCTCAATTATTGGTCTCATCTAGCTTGGGGTGTTTTGTACTCGGCTGATTCGGAACTTCCACAGGAATGCTGTGCATGTTGAAGAAGTGTGCGCCGACTCTGTTGATGAATCTTGATTACCATTCACTTGCCTCCCGGTCTTATTCCTATGGGTTCACACGGGATGTTTTATGTGTTGATGGAGCTGTGGGTGGTGCAGCGCATGCCAATCATACTCCATGTCTCATTAAGCGCAGGCATCCTGTGGTTGTCCATATGAGGGACACAGTAACAGGCAGAACCGAGAACGAACGCTGTCAGTCATGATTCACATTCGTTTAGACCTGCTTGCGTGGTCATAGTTTTCCATTCGTGCGGCTGTAATATTATTGTGAGGTATACAGTTTTGTGAAATGTTGTTGATATCTTTTTGCACCGTCAAGATGAGTCTACCTTTGTCTGTATTCCTAAAGCTATTGGTAACGTGTATGTTACCCGGTAGGGTGAGTTGTACCGTGATGGAATTGTTAAACTGATAAGCAGGCATTTGTGAAGAGGAAAAGTATAGTTCCATCTTATGACCGGACCAAACATTGGAGATTTGTCTAATAATTATCCCCTCCCCCCAAGCGACGTTGTCTGAGCGGATGGGATGTGACTTATATTCCGATACCGAGGATAAATCTTATTGTCTCGTAGTCACTACTTGCAACATTTCAAGTAGATCGTTTTATGCGACATGGTCTTAATGTTAATATTAAGCCAAGTAGATAAATAATACGGCCATATGTGACCATGACGATAGCCTGCGAAAATGTGTTCACTTTCTAGTGTGCGCAGTCTTCCTGTCCGCTTTTATGTCTGTGCGCTTTTTACTGCCCGCAATTTTCGTGTGCGCTTTCTTTTGGTCACCGACTGAAATACAGCAACTCACTTCTCATTGGTTGTGTAATATCCGGGTGATTACCTTGATTATTCCATCTGTTCCTTCTGTGTGTACCTCTGGATCGCGGACCGTTACACATCCTGCTTTTTCTATTGCTTTCTTGATACAACAGGCTTCAACTATTGCGATTCTATGGTCAATAACCTATTTCGGAACGGACACACATACTACTGTACACTCACAACGAACTCACGGCACAGAATCACAAATACAACATAAATCCGGCACCAGTCTATAGCCTCAACCCCGGATGGAAAGGAAACAAGACCTCAGACACGAGTTCTGGTCGCACGCCAACACATCAGAAAGTGTTGGAAAGATATGGTTGGTTTAGGTCATTCAACAGCCTTGTCAAATCAGCCAATCACAGTGTTCATTCCAATTGGGAACAGATAGCGCGCACTGTTTAAACATCAAAAATGTTGGCTAACAATCTATCCATGATTTTGGCTAATTCTAGTGTAGTTCTTGGGAATTGTGGCATTTTCCCAACATCAACCATATCAACAAGTGTATCCAACCAAACCTGTTAATCGTCTTTCGAGCCCCAACCGGGGAGCCGAGTCGCTTCAACTGAAGCCGACTTCGAATTAAAGGCCTTCAAGGCATCCTTCACTCCAACCAAATGTAAACACTACTCCAAGATTAAAGAGAAGACATTAGTAGTACGTCAGCATACCGTGCCGACGCTTCTCTGCCACGCACCCACTACTAGCCGCGCGTTGGCTAAGATACTGCGAAGGTCGTCTGGTTGCTTACATAGGCTCGGACCGGTGACATTCTGGTCGCAAGGTGGACTCCCTGTCTTTTCGACCACCGATTTCCAAGATTGACAGGCGCCTTGCTCGCGCTTACTGTCACTGACAATATTCTGAAACAAGTCAATTGCTTCACTTGTCATGAGAGTTGCGTCTTGGATTTGTGTGGTGTTAAAGAGGTCTCACAATGGATTTCATAGTCATTCGCCATCATTACGCACGTTAGCTAGAAGCGGAAAACACCTCAGCTATGGCACTGCAGTAGATGATGAAGGTAACACAGGATGCATCACAGGCACACCATCTGATCCACCACTAACAGAGGGACATAGTTTCGGAGAGATAGCAACTGGCTTTTGTGCGGCAAAAAATAAGTTATATTATGTCAGAAATGCGGGCGTGGTTGGAAGGGAAGGCTAATCTGAAAGTGAAGGGACAAAGAAACAGCATAAACGAAACTGAGTTCGGCTACAACGGTATCAACAAATCTATCCAGCCAAACGTGCTCATCGTCTTCCGGACCCCAACCAAGAAGCCGTGAGGCTCCAGCCGAAGCCATCTCCGAACTAATGGCCTTTATTTCCTTCGACCATGTCGTCAGTTGGCCTCCCTTCCTCGTCCTCTTCCACACCACGGTCCCGTAAGTCGCTTGTCGCGGGAGTCGGTGTGCTATCATGCGCAACACATGGCCCATCCATCGGAGCCTGCTTCGTGAAGCAACGGTGCTGAGCGCTTCATTCCCTCTTCCTGTACCATAAAAGTCGCAGAACACTTTAATTGCTGACGTGTTTTTCCCACCAGACATGAGCCAGACTGCAAGGTACCGGTAGTCGATCGTAATTACCCTCTTTACTTCTGCCGGTCTAATGGGCCAGGTTCCACAACCGTGGTGTCAGGGCTACGGCTGCATTGTACGCTTTGCCCTTCAAGGCGAGTTTGATATGGTATCGGCGCCATAGGTGGCGTAGGTTAGAAAATGCGTCTCGAACTTTTGACTTACGGTTTGTGACGTCGTCTTCAGTTTTACAGGCGCTGATACAAATGCCTAGGTAGTTGAATTTTTGAACGACTTAGCTGATTCCCACCAAGGGTCAGCGCAAGAGGCGGTCCCTACCAATCTTGTACGAAAGCCTTGCTTTGAAAACGGAACGGCTGACAGCTAATGCTATCCTCTCTAGTGCTGTTTAGAGCGTCTGCAAGCTGTCACAGATGAGGGCAATGTTGTCGGTATACTCTAAGTCAAGAAACTGTTCACCTGGGAGCAACTGCACGCTTTCTAACTTGTGTCCGTTGAACTCGATTTCTATAACTTTGTCAACGGCGAAGTTGAAGAGTAAAGGTATCAGTGGGCATCAACGTCTTACACCGTTAGTTATTTTGAAAGGCGGCGACAACTTGCCGTAAGCCATCAATATTCCCGAGGTACGCATGTAAATCACTCGGGTAATTTTCACATATTTCTCGAGCACACTTTTTCTTAGCGGACAGTCCCAAAGAGCACATCGATCAACCGCATCAAAGGCACTTTGGATGTCAAAGAACACGACAAAGGTGGGCAACCAATATATGTGGCAGTGTTCCAACAATTGAGGTAAAGCGAACATTTGATCGATACAGCCCCGATCTCGACGAAACCCGGCTTGATCCTCTCGAATCTGCATTTCATGAGTGTCATGCAGTCTATGGAGAATGACCGTGGCAAGCAATTTGGAGGCGATGATCAGACTTATTCCTCTATGTTTGTCTCATTTCGAACATGGGTCCCTCTTGAAGATTGAGCCAATAACGGAACTGCTCCACTAGTTTGGGACAGTTTTCTGTTTCTACAATTTCACTAAAAACTCCTGTAGCTCATTCACAAGAGCAGTTCCTCCTAATTTGAAGAGGTCTGGAAGAAGAGCATCTGGTCCCGCGGCCTTCTTAAACTTCAGCAGTCCGATCTCTGAGCGAAAGAGCGGATCAGAAGAGAGCCTACGAAGCAGGGCGATCACCGGCCGGCGAGAGGTCTGACGATTCTAGCCGAGTAAATTGCCTTTCAATGGGTTCAACCCAACGCTCCAAGCGTTTTGACAAGTTGTGGATTGGCTTTCCACTCTCCTCACACATAGTTTCACTAAGATCATGTATCCTGCTGTCCGTTTTCATTACCGGCTGGAATAACATCCGATGGTTACCAAGGGCAGCAGCCACTTCCATCTCTGACTCACGATGAGAGCTAGCTTCACTCTATATGTTTTGTTCACGAACTTGTTGGCCTCAGCAATTGATCTTTGGTTTGTTCGTACTCCTCCCTTAATGATCCACATTTCTCGCAATCATTTACCTAATTTGCTATAAAAACCAGGCCAATTATGTACCGATTCATTTAGTCCGGAGAAATTATTGTGTCAAGAGCGAATGCTGACTGGAATACAAGCATACACAAAATTGATTCCTGTTAAATTTTCCGAAATTATTAGTTCCCAGTCGGTTCCAGGCCTATTCTGTGATATTGTACCGCTCTCCGTATTGTTACGTGTGCTTACATACAAATCTACACTGTCGTTCAGACCGATGGACTCCTAGAATGATAGCAATAAAGCGGAATACCTGTAGCTCGGGTTCTCCGTTCAGGTTTATGTTTGTTCTCCGAGCCGAACTATTTCGTTGCAGACATTTCATCACCAATCGAGGTGACTTCATCAGTGCGTACTAAGCAAAAATTGACCGATGAGCGAGCGATGTTTGAACTTGGCCAGGTCCCGTGACCGTTGTTTGTTTGCAGTTCGATCGCAACGAAATTGTTTTGCTCGGAGAACAAACATAAACCTGCCTAGACTGATAATTCACATCATTTGATTTTGTAATATTCACGCCAACCATCTTATGGGACTTGTCAAACACTTGCTTTTTTATTCGTGTTCATTTCCTTTTCATTTTTCCATGTTTCATTGGCACCTGTATTCTTTGCACCTTGTTGCTCTGCCGCAACTGATTTCTCGCTGTACTATTTCCTGTTGGATTTCTTGCTGCGCTATTAACTGTTGCTGGTGCTATTATCTTCATTTCCCCACTTTGCCTATTCAAGCAATTCGACCTTTAGCGTTTCTTCTCTCCATAATAAAGCTGCCTATTTTTCTCAACACCTGGCACTTATTAACCTGTTACGCTTCGGTTTGTTTATAGGTTATGTCTACCCCATCCGCTGAACATCGACGTCACAGTCTGAAACATAACCTTATTTTTGAGGGAACGGCTAAGACACCTAAGGCAAGAGACGACGAGACTCCCAAATTATCCAGCTCAGTCAAGAAGGATGCGGGTAAATTGAAACGTCCTCGCCAAGAAGATCAGCAGTCGCCTCTTCAATCACCTGAATTTCCTAATACTCCGTCTACGAAACTGAAGAAATCACGCACTCAGGAGGTTCGTGGTCGTTCTGTTATGTTTATCTGTAGGTCCTTCACTCGGTACCCTTTGGCACTGTCATCCTCTGTTGACACATTACTGAATCACAGTAACATGGGTCTCATTTCTCTGAACTGCTTCTTATTTTGGTCGGCATCTCCCTATTGTCTCTTTCACATCATCATAATTATACAGCTTAGCTATTGTGCAAAACAAAACGAAAAATTATTCTTCGCACTGTGAAATCACGTTTAAATGTTTATGTTTAAGCGGGGTGGGGGCGGACAAAGAAACTCACAACACAAGCGCTACTGACGCCGTTTCTTCTCCACATCAATAAGTGTATCCAGCCAAATATGTTCGTTGCCTTTCAGAACCTTACAGGAGAGTTGGGAGGTTCCAGTCGAGGCCAATTTTGAACTGATGACTTTCATTCCACCTGACCAAATCATCGGTTGGCCCCCATTCTCTCCTTCTATTCACACTCCAGGTGTGCAAATAACACGTCGTAGGAGTCGCTGTGTTTCCATGCGTAACACATGACTAATTCTTCGGACACTAATGCTTGAGCTTTTGCTATACGGTTCTCGATCTCATCTTCTATTTCACAGGCGATGATACAGCTACCCAAGTTGTTGAGTGTTTGAACGACTTCTGGCTGATCACCCTTAAAGGTCAGAGGACTGGGCGGTCGCCGCCTATCTTGGAGGAAGGCATTGCATTCTATAGTTACGAAGCAAAGCCTGCTACGACTGACGAACAGTTCCGGTTGTCACAGATGAGGACAATGTTGTCGGCATACCCCAACTTAAGAAGTCGGTCGCGTACAAGTAACTCCACACTGTCTAAGTCTGGTTCACTAAACGTAGTTTCCATAACCCCCTTGCTAACGAGGTGGTAAAGGAAGAGTGACAGCGAGTATCCTTGTTTCACACTGCTAAAGCTATCAAATGGCGACGAGAGTTTGCCACAACCCCACCTGTCAGAAGTACGCGAGTTAAGCGTTCTCACTCTCTTCACCCACATTTCATCCACACCTCTCCTAATCAGACATTCTCAAAGGGACATGGATCCACGGAATCGGCCAGAACAGATCGCTATTATACTTAGCGGTACTCCAACAAATGACTTTAAATGAAGACATGCTCAACGCAGCCACGACTTAAACGAAATTCGGCTTTCTTTTCACGAATTCGGCTTTCGTAGGTGCCAGTCAATCTGTGAAAAAGGACAGAGGCTTAGATTTTATGGAGATCAGATTGACTCTTCTATGTTTGCACATACAGAACTAAGTCCTCTTTGGAGATCGGGACAATGACGGAGCTACTCCAGTAGTTTGGGACAGTTTCCTGCTCCCACAGTTTCCCCCATAAGTTACACTGATTATACACAGGAGTAGTTTCTCCAAATCCGAAGCGGGCCATTGAAAGTTAATCTGGTCCCTTAACCTTATGCAACTTTAGCAGTCCGACGTCACGTTCGACTTCTACGCGAGAGGTTGGATCCACAGCGACGGTTCACGAAACACGGCGATCACTAGTCGACCCGAAAGCCTACAAGCCATAAGTTACAGATGGTGTGGTTCGCTCCTGGATTGTCGCTCCTTCTGGAGTACATGTGTCGAATCTGACCTTGCCTTAGTACACTGTCGTTTTTCCATGATCTTTAGCAGGAATTGTACCAAGCGCCTTCCTCGATTGACAACTGATGAATCACCACAGCTTGCTGTCTGGCTTGCCTACCGGGATGTCCTGCGTACCGAACTTTCGCTCTCTTGCCCTAACGATACTGAGCTTTAGTGGAATAGTATTTCGACCGCAATGCACGACGCAGGAGCCTCACTTTTTGATCCTATCATTGGCAGACGCACCAGTCACTGTGTCGAGATATCAATGAACCCGTTAAATTCAGCAGAAACCTTCCGGCTGGTTCTGAGCACACTGTAACTAGGCGGACTATTCCACGGGGACTAAAGCGGAGTCTGCGTACCGACAAGGAAGCCTGGTGGACTAGTAGGGCTTAAGAAATGTAGCAAGCAGAAGCAGCAGGCAATTATCGCCGGCTCTTCCAACTGATCCACACCACTGGTCCTAGAAAACCAAGCGTCAGCGAGACAATCAGAGACAGCGCGGGGGCACTGATACACAACCAGGAGCTCCGTATAGCTCGTTAGGCCGAGCTCTTTCGAGAGCACTTCAGTTGCTCCTCTGTTTCTGGACCTCTTCCTACTCAGGGGTTACAGGCTGAACCATGGCCAGTTAGTTTAGAGACTCCGTCGAGGCTGAAGTCCGAAGTGCGATCGCGGTCCTCATTCGTTTTCTCCTTGCTGGCCGGGATTCGCTTGCACCCGCACTATTTAAGGATGGTGATGAAGTCGTCTGCAAAGCACTGACCTCCTTGTTCGTACAGGTCTGGATGGTTAAGACCATCCCATTCAACTGAGGTGACGAGATACAAGAAGTGCAGTCGCACCGGCTGTGCTAACCACAGGGATATTAGTCTAACGTTGATGGTAACAAAATTACTGGCCCCAATTCTCATTCGTCGCCTCACTATGGAACGAGAATCACGGATTAAGGAAGAGCAGGCTGTATAGACCACATATTCACTCTGCGGCAGATGCTATAGCAACGCCACGCGTACCACAGGTCCGCGATAGCTCTGTTGCTCGACTTGAAGTGTGCGTTCGGTTCAGTCGATCGATCCGTCATGTTCGAAATTCTTGCTCGGAAAGATGTTCCATTGAAATTTGTGAACACTTTTGTGCTCTGTACTCGAACACCAGAGTCCAAGTTAGCGTCTACGCTAATTTGTCGGTTGCCTTTCTGACAAATGGCGTTCGTCAGGGTTGTCCAATTTCCCCACGTTTGTTCAACTTCCTCGTTTACTGCATCATGGAATGATCTCTTGCGGAACACCACGATGCAGGCGTTGGGGTGCTGTCTTATGAAAATATAGTTCATCTTGATTATGCGGACGATATTGTCCTGCTTTTTAACGATTTTTGTGGGCGCTGTCAATCCTGGATAACCTCTATTGAGTGGTCCCATCGTTTTGCATACGCATCGCAGCTTCAAAGTACAGTGTTGCTGCATGACCACCATCCGCTTGATGATCGTTGATGATGAGGAACTTGAGGTAGTTGCTAAATTCACTTACCTTTGCAACTGTATCAGCAACGATGGGCGCATAGCAACTGAAGTCAGTTCACTTATTGCAAAAGCTAGAACTGCCTTTTCGAATCTGCGGCATCTGTGGTGTCAGAAAGGGTTTCCCTCAGTTTGATAGTTCGTGTAAACGAGGCTATGGTGAGGGCCGTCCTACTCTAGAGAAGCGAGACTTGACTGATCTGATCTGAGGACCTACGATGCCTTCAAGTATTTGACCATCGTTGTCTACGAAGCATCATTGGTGTCGGATGGCACCAGCATGTTCGCAACTATGGTGTGCGTGAGCGAGTACTGGGCAGAGATAACCCGGTTTTTTTAGAACAGCAGGTAGCACTGATTAAGTTGCGTTGGCTTGTGCACTTACTACGTATGCCTGGCCACCGCCTACTGAGGAAAACCTTGTTTTCTTTGCCATAGGTAGGGTGCCGCAAGGCTCGAAATGGGCAGAAATTAACTTGACAGCGGGAAATGAAATCATTGACGACCCAACTCGGTGCCGTTCAGGCTGGAATCCACGTGACCCGCCTTGTGCCTGAATCAAGACGTTACAGAACATTGTTCGCAGTCGACACCAGTGGCGTGTCTGCTGTCGTCTCGTAGTCGGACTGCTTGTTTGGAGTGTGGCACTGTTATCTGCGGGGTAATGGATGATTATGACGCGGCGGGGCAGTGGAAGCCGCTAGGAAGCTGTCTCGCCCATTCCGCCTTATCTTTGCACGGTAGCCAGCTGTTTGTTATGGTATGTTTTTAACAAGGTGTAGGGGGTCTTGACCCTGAGTGTTTGTTTAGGGCATTACGGTTTTACCGCACGTCTTCTCTCCCTCTTAATGTTCTTTGTTCCGTAGGTTGTTATACTGTTGATGATGATGATGACAACAACGACGACTACGACGACGACGATTGTGATGACGACGATGATAGATCTGCTGTGTAGATGTGGGAAGTGAATCTCACTCATTGCTTTTTTGAAGAGGTTCGGCATGTGTTCGCCTTGTTGTAACGAAACAAGGCCACTGGAGCCGACGGCCTTTCTCCATCTTTGTGGAGAGCTGGAGGTGACTCTTTATCAATTGGACTTATCTATTTAAAACAGTTTGTTCAGCTGAACTGAACTTGCTTACTTGTGGACGACCCTGCAGTGTCCCGGACTTGCACTCAGCTTCTGCTGATTGCGTGGAAATAGCATAGTATGGATGTACCGGCTTATTGCTAACGCCTTTCGCCTTTTACACAATTAGTCAGCGTTAATACAGCTGCAATAATTGGCAACTGAGCTAGATCATCTTCTCATCGGAGCTGGTTTAGTACATCAGCAGTGTCGCAATTTTGAATGCGATACTCCAACAACCCTGATGTATTAGTCAACTTGCTAGTATGGTCTTGATTGCGGTTGTGACAACGACTGCGTACTGAGCTTCTATGAGGTCTACCTTTCTGCTGAACTATGTTTCTGTTGCTGCTAAACTGTTATTCTGCGAATTCCTGTCTGTCAATGATTATACTCTACACGATGTTTTTTACCACTGACAATACAGATAACCGATAAAACTATTCCTATCACGGTCCATCTTCTTCCCAAATCAAACCTTCATTTGAATGCGGCATAATACCGTCTTATTGTCAATCGAACTAGTTCTGATTGTATAATTGTATAGAAACAACATAGAGAAAGTTTCCGAGCTATCGGAAAATGTCAGATACAGGAAAGCGCTCTCGTCGGAAAGCTTCAAGCCAGGGGTGTTAGCTTTGGCTGACACAAACGGAAACGACGCTCGTTGGTTGGCTACTGGCCAGTGATCTTCCAGCTGGTTTGGTACTGGCTTCCGTTGACGCTATCGTCATGGATCCAGGCATTCTTGGCAAACCATGTAGCATACCGGTAGACACATAGACACCTTTTGAACTCGTGTTCGACCACCCTGTCTGCGAACAACAAGTTTGCCGCTGTGCATGATGGGTGTAACGCGTTCAGAGTTTGTCGTATTCTGATGCTGGTGGTGGCGTTCCACTGTGCTCCGGTCTTGCAGTTGTGTATTCGCTTCTTCTTGAAGCTGCTTGAGTCTAATGTGGCTTGTCTGTTCTCCTGTTTTGCACACAGTTTATTGCAGGAGTGATGTATGCATTGATGCCGTCGAATCTCTCTTGTGGACATCCCTGTGCACAATCTAACAAGGACTCCCTCATTTACTTTCACGTCTTTCAGTGACGTTCTGCACGCATACCTTCTACTTCCGGCCTTATCGCTACTCCAAAGTACGCAATACTAGTTGGACATCTGGGTACCGCCGTGACTACCATCGACGGTCGTTTAGTGCACTTACTCAGAATCATACGGAACTATAGACTTGCTGTCCGAATAGCTCTTTATGTTGCTTCACTTTACTCTTTACTCGTGCACCTCACTTTTGTTAGTGATTTTAAGTGCCACATATTTTTAGATTCTGTCTATGTACCCTATCTGTATTGAGGCTGCAGACTGCTCCTTCGTGTTTGTGTGATTCATGAGATTTACAGCTTTTTTACCAGACTGGTGATTATGAGAGAAAATGTTGCAAGCATTGTCGCTGGTTCACATAATCGCATCACACTACATTGGATCACATTATTACCGTCTGTTTGGATGCACTTGTTTACATGGCAAACAACCGTCCCCAATGATGTTTGTGTGTTTCTTTGTCCCTCCGCCTCCCCTTCGACTTCTACCTCTAACAGCGATCTTCTACCCAATGCATAATGTGATATTTAGTATTGTACTACTTGTTTTTTAGTTTTTCTAGTCTTTAATATTTTTGCATTATCATTTTTTTATTACAACACTGCTGAGGTGTGTTTCTCACTCATTGTTAACATGTATTTGTTGTATCAAGAAAGCCGTAGGAAAGGTAAAATGTATCTCGCAAAATTAACCATGTACATCTGAGTCAATCCCTTGTTAAACGGAGAGTCAAGCGACAGACACACACAACCAATAGTAGTGAGTCAGCAAGCCAACCAATGAGCTTGAGCCAATCGATCTTGCTCACATGGTTACCACATTATCGTTCCCCCTCCGAAAAGCTGCCTCAACCGGGTTCGTAGCGATCAATAGGTTTCACCGTTCTCGCGGACCGACGCAGCTGGCTTCGTGGTAATGGTAACTCAGCCGGGTCTTCGCGCGCGGATCGGTCGGGCTGATTAGCTGGTCCGTGAACTGTGTGGAGTCGACGCGCGTTGACAATTAGGCCGTTCTCCAATCGATAGGTGCCCGGGCCAAGCGTACGGTCGATGCGCAGTGGAGCGGAAAGCGAAGGTGTGCCTTTCTTTGTTGCTCTGCTTTTGACGCGAACGTATGTCCCGGGCTGCATTGGTGTTGATAATTTAGCGTAGGAATTTTGGTAAGATGCTATGCGATTTGAAACTTCGGCATCTCTCGCTGATAAAACGTTATGTGCAGCATTTAACTTTGTGCGTAAGGGCCTTCCTAGCATCAGCTCCGCTGGCGTTCTTCCGGTGGCTCTGTGGTCACATGTTCTGTAGGAAAAAACCGCAGTTAAAACTGCGTCTTCCCAGTCCGAACCTCCTATGTGTATGGCTTGTATAGCTTCTTTTAAAGACCGGTTTAAACGTTCGACCATGCCGTTGGCTGCAGGATTGTAGGGCGCAGTTCTGGAGTGCTTAATGTTATGGCAATGTAGAAAATCTGCGAATTCGCCGCTACAAAATTGTGGCCCGTTATCCGTTACTATTTCATGCGGTAAACCGAAACGGCTGAACAAGTGTTTAAGCCAACGTAACACAGTATTGACCATTGTGCTTATGATATACTTACTCCTTTTCCTCTGATTTACTCGTGCAGGTTGCGTCAAGCCCTTCTATGGAAAATGGACGACACAGCTTGAGTCTTAGCTCTCTTGCTGAGGGGGCGGCGAAAGCACAAAAGCTGGCTGGCGACGGGACGCCGAATTCAACCAAGAAGGGTGTGAGTAAATTGAAACGTCCCCGGGAAGAGGATAAGCAGTCGCCTATTCATTCACTCCAATCGCTTAATTCTGAGCCTATGAAGCCCAAGAAATCGCGTGAAGAGGTTTGTTGTTTCACCTTTCGATGTCCAATGCTGTTTTTTGTGACTTAACATAGTAGCTATCCTTACCCATATGTTTTGTCATGTCAAGTTAACTGTTACCTTTTTAACTTTACTTTATTGGTTTCATAATCGTTTTGATTTTCACCAGTCACTTACCCTAAGCTTTCCAGTAAACTTCATCCATTTTTGCAGTCAGATATACCTCTTTATACGCTGCTTTTGAGATAACAGGCATCAATCCATTAATTTTGATATCAAATATGCTTTCATTCTTATAGGTCCGGCAGACTCGTCTTTCTATTCTGGCGCACTATTTCTTTTCTGTACATTTTTCTCTACCTCCTTTGCCTACACTTCTTTCACTATTGGTCTCGGTTAGCTCCCTTGACCATCGCATTGTTCCTTCGTAGTCATATACTCGATGATTGCGACACCTTTTGCTCACCTTTCCGCCGTTGATTGCTGTTTTTGCAATGCACCTGTCATGTTCTTACACGTCTTTTTGTTACTTTAGAGAGGTTCTGTCACAGAAAACGCTACCTTTATGGATGATCCACAACAGAAAGTTCAGCTTCTCGGCATGATTCGCCAGCGTATTGGTAGGTGGAGCCCATGTATAACTGTCCTCCTGTACCTCCGTTTACTTTCTAGCGTCATTGCACGATCTGATGCAAGTTTTTGTTTCATCCGTTTCCCCTCCATCCACCCGAATGCAACGCACCATCTAGCAACAATCGGCAGTCTCACTACGAGCAATCTACTCACGGTAAATGTGCACACACGGATGAAGCGATTTGACTACCGTTGATTTATTCACCACTTTTCGCTTATGGGTTTGGCTAGCTTTGTGTGTAGTGATTGTATGGAATCGACTGGATATGATTAACCAACTGAGTCGGAACAACGAATTTCCGGTCATACACCCCTTGGTCATTGCTTTTGGCGCTAATGTCTGATTAGTGATCCCCTGACCTGAGGTGTAATTACATGGCCAGTACCCTCCCCCCCCAATGAGCTGCCATATACAATGTTTGGTACTATCGAGATAGCGTGCTTCTCGAAGGCGTGGACTTCGAACCATTAGGAGGGGTGTGTTCAATTGGTTCAGCTGAAGCAGACGGACATTGAGTGTTGCCCGTCCGAAAACACTGCACTCCACGATGTGTTTAGACCTTATTTTATCTCATCAGATAGATATAGCAGGCCTCTAGCCAGGGATCATTGGGATGTTATTTGCAATCTCTTACCCTATAGCCACCTGGTCACAGCGGTCGATGCTTGCCACAATTGTTACTGACTGGTTGGTGGGTTATTTTGAAGTACTCGTTGTGTGGGGATGGATTGCGACACGCCATCTCAGTTTGGACAATGATTCGCATTGAAGGCAGCCTTGGTCAGTCCGGTTACTGGGGCTGTAGCTAAAGCAAGTGGCCGGTGATTGTTGCGTGCCCGAAGACATTGTATTCCATGATCTGTTCACATGGCTGCGGTCAAACTACTGTTATTGTCTTCGAGAGCACTGAGCTGCATCTGGGTGCCACTCGAAAGCCAAAGTTAGCTTCTTGATCACCGGCCTTTTTCGTTTTAACCGTTATTTACTTACTGACCTCACCGATGACATCCACAATGGCTCAGACGCTTCAGTTTTCCCTCGTTAGTTTGCTGCTTACAGCTCCCCAACGAACTTTGAGTGTGCACCTTTATGAAACCAAAAAGATGGAAAATGACGGCTTGTTATTTTTCCAGCTCTTGGTAACCGTCTATGTGAATTCATTCGCGATAGAATAAAAGTTCTCTTCATTACCTTCGAGTTATTCTCCCATTCTAAAGTTAATTACGCTTATTTTCCTTCCTTTCTGAATGTTGAGTAGCAACGTTCGCATACATCTAATGCATGTCGCTACCTGCCTTTCTTTCGGGCTTCTAAACTCTCGCTTAAATTCTCGCAAATTGTCGCCTCTTGGATTGACTGTGGACAGCAGACCTAGTCACGATAGGAACATTATGCTTTCACTATAGCTACCTAATGTTAATAATAGTCGTTGTTATATTGTGCTTTTGTAGATCAGCATATGGCCGAATTCCCCCTGCATTGTCCTCCAGTTAATATGGAAATTGCCATACCACTCCATCTTTTCCGTACCAAGCCCTCCACAGATTTCCTTATTTTACACTTTTCATCCTATTTGCAATTCACGACCAATATTTCTATCCGCTTTGTGTCATTTTTGTGTTGTTCACAGCCTCCCTGAATGCACGCACTCTTTTCGTGCGGAAACTGCCTCGAAGCACGATGGCCTCCCATTTGCGATCATTGTGCCCCACCTCAGTCAACGCTCGTTTGCATCGCAAGACATCCGATAAAAGGCGCAAGTACGTTGTCCATCCACACGGACATTCCACACCTTTTTCGGATAGAGATGATCGACTACGATAGTAATTTATATTTTCTTATTCTCCCACAGAATCGCTTTTCTCGTATTCAAAACAGAAAAGGCCACACGAGAAGCTCAACAGTCTGTGAATGGCAAACTGATTTCAGACAGACCTATAGTTGCGCAACTCTGTTCAGAACGCGCATCGCACAATACGACCGACGTCTCTACGAATACCAAATCGTGGCCTAGACCTGATCAGCTACAACTGCAAAGGTTCAATCTGAGAAGACTTCACATTTCTTGCATCCCACGTAGCGCGACACAAGATGAGATAAAACAGCTTTTTCCCAAATCTGTTTCCTTGCGTTTCGATGAGTCTGGAGGCAAATTTGCACCTTAGTACGTTTTCGTTTTTCATCATCATGCCATCGACTATAATCCTTCTGCTTTGCACCATACACACCAATATTCTTTGCAAACGCACATTAGAACATCTGGGTGTTTTCGTCTCTGGTTCGCCCAGGACTATTCTTTCCAAAAACTTGAGCGTGCTTAATAACTGGCTGTATCTAGGGACACTATCCCACCTGACCGTTCTCGAGTGAAGTATGCCTTCTGTAGGAAGCTAGTTGACGCACGTTGTTGAAAATGAGACGCTATTTTGGTGGTTCACTGTGGTAGGTCACAGGTAAACTCCCTTATTAGTCACTGAGGATGACGTTTACGAGTTGGTGCTGTTGATCGATCTCTGTCCCCATTCACTAGTGAGACTATTTACACCAGCGTTAAGCTTCATCTCCCGCTGCTATTCCATACGTTTGTAACCTGTCTCATTACCAAACTTCCCTGTTGTACTCACTTGTGAAGAAACTCCGGATTATTTGATGTTACTAGGTCTTATATAATCAAGCTGTTCTCAAAGGGCCGTTCACTTTCAGTGTTCACACCTGCTATCTCCCATCATTTATGCTTGTCCTTCCCCCATCTGGCTCCCACTCCCAACCACATTGAAAACAACCTTGACCTGCGATGGTATGACCGCAGCTATGTTCACTCACCAGTGGCAGAATTTGGTCTACTTCACTCCTCAGTGACATTCGATTGTGTTACAGACTTAGGGTGGTTGCATTACGTCGTGGCCCATTGTTGCACATTTTCACGGAGCTTGGTGTACATATGTGAGGTTCGGAAGGATCGCGAGGCCTGGTAGACGCAGCGAGTCATTATGATGGAGCAAGCGGCCGTCTCTGGCAGTTTCCGAAAGCATTTTGTCCTGATCTGGTCCACTTTGGGCAAAAGGCCGACTTTAAGCAGTTTTATGAGAAACCAATGGTGAGCCAATCCACTGTCAACAATGCCGAGTTGTGCGTCGGGCCGAGCATTTGAACAGAAGCTGAACTGACCAGTAACACCGGCTGATTCATCCAGGAAGTCAAAGTGCTGTCCGGTGTGTACACTTTTCGCCACCATCATGAGCTCTGCCTGCTGACTCCCTCCCACTTTTTTCGATGATAGAGGTCTATCACTTGTTTGGGAGTTAACTTCCCTCCTCCAAGGGGTTTGGATCACCGAATCGACCCGTCTGATAATGAGCCTAGAGCATATCGTGCCCGTCTTCCAAAGGGGTGTCCGGACAGACTGCGCTAACCACGGCGGGATTCATCTCATCTATGTAGCATCCAGAATGCTTGTTGCATTGCTTTCAAGGAGGCACAGCCTGGTACGCGAACAGAACATGTGCGAAAAGCAAGTAGGGATGGCCTCACACTGTTCTTGGTTCCGGCCTTCGATGATAACTTTTGTGAACGCACTGCATTGTCAATCTTGAACACCTGTACTCACACGGTTGGCTGGTATTTAATCTTCCTTCCTTTATTTAATCTTCACTTACTTTCGGCCATTTCGCTGCTGTGATGTAGGAATCTTCCTATAAACAGTTATATGTGTCAACGACGCATTCTGTTGCATTCATTGGGCTGCGGACTATTCGTGATATTCTGACGGCGGAGTTGAATTACTGCTCCTTTGCACCTATCTGCACAACTTTAGAATATATCCTCTGATAAAGTCACAGTGATTACAGCTGGAAGCGGACATTTTTGGATTACTTGGAGTTAATTTCTCTTTCTGCAACAAACCGCGGTATTCGCAAGTCACAATGTGCGGCACGTTTGCTGTGGCGTGTTTCACACCCACGGCTAACGTGTATTGATAATGATGATGAGGAGGACGATGATAATAATGACAAGATGAAGATCAAATATATTCCGGCGCTTTCCATATCGGCTACCATGGGACCGTCAACAGCGCGCTAAGACGCCCTCAGGATTTGTGGGGTTTACGACAGACCACACGCATTGCGTGGCATTTCTTTTAGACTACGTAGAATCATGTGGAAATTGTCATTGCCTTCAGTACCACGATTCGGCAATCCATACCGGTGTCGGTATAGGGCAATCTATACCTCCATTATCGTAGAAGAGACTGTTTTACAGTTTCTGACACCCGATCAGACCTCTCAAGTTATCGGGAAATATACAATGGCCTTATTATCCTTTTTCACCTAGTGAAAAGGTTTTGGAAACGGTGTTGTTGGCAGATGTAACAGCGCTTAGTTGCAAGAAAGCCCGTACCTAAAATATGTTCGTTAGTAGTTGGCAACCTTCACCGCAGTTGTCGCAACGAGACTGGACCTTAACATGGTATGACGGTTTACGTTCCTGGTCGACCCATTGATCTATACCGTCGAGCCCTTGAGCCCCTTAAGAGTTACTCCTACCAGGTTAGTCAATGGTTAAAGGTCAGACAAACTCAGTCTTCAGGTTCTCCACTAGCGGGTTTGAAATAAGATGACGTCCATTTCTGTAAAACCTAATCGTTACCAAATCGACCACCTTGCGGACAGACTTTTTAGCAGGTGCTTTGGTTGAGGACCCTAATCGTTCTCCTGTCTAGGTCTGGCCGCCGTGGCAGTATCTCAGCCCACGTACAACCATGACCATTACTTCAAACTGCAACCACATCCTTATCAAGGCTCGCCTTATCTGCTGCATACAGCAGGGTGGATAAGCGAAAACGTGCTACTACTTGCGCCACCTTTGCTTTCCAGCTGTTTCTCTTACTCCCTTCCCATTCCCCATTACTAACATTTCTTCTATACTTCCCAATTTAATTGACAGCAATCACAATCCCACAGCAGTTCTTCCATCTGCAGCTATGTTCCCGCACCACTCACTGGACACCAATTGCCAACAGCTCTTTATAAGGCCACACTGTCCCGTTTCCCTGGCGGCGTTCAACCTTCGCACTCTAAGACACATAGGTTAACAGACTGCACTCGCACGCATGTTGGACACGCTGGGTATTGCCGTTTGTTGTGTGTCCGAAACTAGGATCAAGGCCTCTCATGGGGTTATTGAATTAAGTGCGCTCGACTTGTCCTCTCGCTATTGGTTGCACACATCCGGAGACACTGTTGCGGCAGCCACTGGTCAAGCTGGAGTGGGCATCGTTCTTAGCTCCAAGTCTGAGTCATGCTTAGTTGATTGGATCCCTGTGAACATCCGCTTGTGTGCAGTCCGTTTAACAACATCAACTATGGTTGGTTCACGAAGCAGTATAAGACGCTGCTTGTTGGTGGTTTCCGTTTAAGTCCCCATTGACTGTAGTTCTGGTGTTGCAAAGTATGCCTTCTATCACGAACTTTCGAGATCAGCTCAGTTGGCTCCATGTTTCTGGCCCTTTTCCTACTTAGCTGATGCAGACTGAGCTATGGACGATTAGTTTAGAGACTCCGTCGAGGCTGAAGTTCGAAACGCGATCGCAGCTTTTCATCATTTTTGATCTGTTGGCTCTGATTTCCTCCCCCCGCGCGTTTTAAAGATGGTTGTGAGGTCCTTTGCCAAGCGCTGACCTACTTGTTCGAACAGGTCTGGAAGAAAGATACCATTCCAGCTAACTGAATTGAATCGATTATGGTGGCCATATACAAGAATGGCAGTCCTACTCACTGTGCTAACCACAAGCATATTGACCTAACGCCGGTAGTACCAAAAGTATTAGTCCTAGTTATCATTTGTCACTTCCCTCACTTCGAAATTGGCGTCGGTTGGTGCATTCTGGCTGCCTGGCTGCGGTCCTATTGTTGATGAACACCTTAGTGTGGACACATTTCCTGATATGGCGAAGAGCCGGCCCCAATGGCGTTTGCGTTGTGTTTTTGTCCATCCCCTTCCTTTAGGTTCCCCCTCCAATCTCGATCTCATGCAAAACGCATCATTTAATATTTAACATTATATTTTTTGTAGTGTTATTTGTGTAATTTGTAGTGTAATTTTTTGGTCTCTTATCTTTTTGTATTGCGGCATATTAGCTGTGGTATGTTTCCTACCCTCAGCTAACGTGTACTGATGATCATGACTCGTCTCTTCACTGCGGAATAGGAATCCTGGATTTGGAAAAAGCAAGCATTTTCCCCCCTGTATAAATCACATATTCACTATGCGGTAAGTACTAGAGCAGCACGACACGTACCGCAGGCCGACAATAGGTGTGTCCCTGGACTTCAAAACTGCGTTTGATTCAATCGAGCGATCCATTCTGTTCGTAATACTTGTGCCGAAAGATGTTCCCATGCAATATGTGACCATTTTACGTGCCCTGTATTCTAACCTCACAGGGTCTGCGATGACGTTCCAGAAATTTTCCCGGTACAAGTGCGTTCATCAGGACTGCCAAATTTCCCTCCTTTTTGTTCAACTTTGTCATGTACTCCATCATGGAGTGTTCCCTTGCGGAGCCTCACGCTACAGGCGTTTACAGGACTCTAACAAGACGCTACGACTGTTTTCACAGTTAGCGAGTTCCACCGGCATTTTCACCTTACGCCTATCTGGAGACTCAACTGCTGAAGCCGCTGGTCATGCTGGCGTAGGGACCGCGTTTTGCACATGTGTGAGGCCGCGCTACTAAACTGGATTCCTGTCAACGGTCGTCTCTGCGCGATCCTACTTGAAACCTGAGTGCGACTGTCCAGGCGCGGAGGCAGCAGACGGGGTTTGTTCATTGTCACAGCGTACGCTCCCGCAAACTGCAGCCCGGAGTCAGTTAAGGACCAATTCTATGGTCCACTGACTGACCTCTGTAAAAAGCGCCGCACCGACATCGTGTTGCTCGCCGGGGACTTGAACGCGCAGCTTGGCAACTTGAAGTTGACGAACGTGAACTCGGTAGTTAGCACAGCCATATCATTCGCAGAACAGACAACAATGATCGTCTACTTCAGTTTTGCTCCGACCACGGCCTCTTTCTATCGAGCAGTAGCTTTCGGGGATCTTGGCGCCAACGCGTCACTTGATGCCCCCATCACCTAGCCAGCGGTGGACACAGATTGACCACAT